AGAAACCCAGACCTACCTCTCCCCAGAGAGACTTTCCAGCTYCTCCTGAWGATGAGATGTTCCCAGGTCAGAGGATGCATAATGCCTCCAGTGAATCCTGGGTCTTCTCCAGGGCCTCCTCCCAGTGGGACGTGCTCAGAACACCTCTAAAGGGAGGTGTCCAGGAGGCCTCCTAACCAGATGAACCACCTCAACCTTTCAGTGTGGAGGAGCAGCAGCTCTACTCTGAGCTCCMCCYGGATGACGGAGTTCCTCACCCTTTCTCTATATACCTTGTTTTTAAAGTTTTCATCATTTTTGGATTTTGATACCTTTTTCTGGGTTCGAGTCTCTGGCCTTCCACATGTACTCTGGCTTACCCTCAACTCTTACTCAAGCTAATTTTGGAAACCTATGGATTCACTGTGACAAGACCTGCCTATAACCAATATTTGTAGCTGTAATCACAGTTATAAGGTATAAAGTAAAATCAACTGTTGAAATCCTCCTTTCCACTGCAGTTTTGGCCTTTAACCAAAAGTCTTTTAGCTTTTCGCTCACCTGTCTCAATCCATGTTGGGACAGATCTTGATGCTTGAAAAAATGAGGCAGTCAAAGCAAAGCAGCAGCCATGCTACAAGCAGTTAGCTCCCTCTGTCTTTGTCTCTTTCATGTCCGGCTGATCAGGTCGCCCTTCTACTTAAAGTTTCTCCTGGTGTGTTCTCTTCTGAAAAGGTTTTGTTTTAAGACGAGACTTAGCTGAGAGTTGTTTTTAGCGTCTCCATTTCTGCGATGGGTCTCCAAACTCCGCAACCAGCGGCGCTATGACAAGCTTTTTTTTCTAACCTCTTCTGCTAGGGCGAAATCTGCAGAGCCCCAGAACCCTAAAATTCCACAACATTGATTGGCCAATTTAATTTTTAATCTGCCTAGCAACTGTATGASATTGGTTAAGAGACTGCACTCCTTGRGCTCTCTCTGTCTATGGCCCCATGACAGAAACGACACCAGTTTGTGGAAATTTACTGGTGAATAAATGTCAATAGGTGGAGAATATAGTTGATATAATTCATATTACATGCAGACATACACTAGTGAGTAAAACCAACATTTATAACTAGATTTATAAAAGTATATTTTGTATTCTTCTTCTTCTTCTTGTCAAGTGGGGCAGCGCCCCCTATGGACCAGCCGCCACTGCGCAACTCATTAATTTCTTTCCTCCTCTTCGTGACCCTGACCCACAGACCCCTCCCCGACAAGAGACATTTCAACAGCACGACATCACGCTTTGGGTACGTGCAGGGCGCGCCCACCCTCACCAGTGTGGATGTTATAAAACTTCGCTTTTTAAAGTCCGTATTTGTCACGCGTGAGGGGGGGTGTGTGTGTGTGTGTGTGTGTGTGTGTGTGTGTGTGTGTGTGTGTGTGTGTGTGTGTGTGGGGGGTCTGCCGCAGATAACAGAGGAGGGGCAGAACGGGGAGACGAGTGGGGAAATTATTTATAAGTTTATCTGACTTGTTTTGTTTTATTTATTGTTTTTATCGTCCTGCAGGCTCTGAGAGAAAATTAATTTGAAGCTGAGTTTTTTAAATAAATCATTAGATTACTCTAAACGTCTGTAAACCTGCAAAATGAGGGAAACTCTGTGTCAATTACAGACATTCTGTTCACGTGAGCAGTTGTCAGCATCCTCCAGACTCTTAACGGAGAGCGAGTCTGAGTCGGCCAATCGCTTTTTTTGACATTGATCAGCTGACTGATTTAAATACACCTTAACAGTCATGAGGTATGTTGCATTGACTGTTTATGGTTGAGTGTGGGCGTGTAGAGGGTAGAACCTGAGGCGGGACCTTGTGCGCAAACTGACGTGCGGCAGTGATTTTTAAATTAAAGATGCGCAGAAACATGCGTACGCACGGTTTTACAAATCTGAATTTTTTTTTTTGGCGTACGTTGTTTTTGCCTTTTGGCCGTACGTTCATTTTTAGTATGGTTTCCATGCAATCCTCTATAAATCTGACCCCTGATCTGTCCGTCCAGGCGTACCCATAAATAAATCTAAGATAGGAGTTTTAACATGTAGAAATCCACTTTGGTTTTGGCCAAAAGCTCAAATAAATCATTAGTTTGTCATTTCAGTCAGAATTAAACTCTTTTTACAACAGGTGAGATAGTACGTGTTAAAAATCTTTCCATAGAACTCTACTTCAAAACATTTGAACATCCCTTTAACTTATTATTGCCACAGACTTTGGGGCCAATTTTCAGGTTAACAGTCTGTTTATTTCAATCTTTCATATTGTTTGCTCATCATTCATTATTTGAGTTTGGACTCAGCTTTGTTCTGAAGAGGACATGTCATTTCCTGTTTGTAACAATCGACAAAGACTCTTTTTTCCGTCGGTGAGACAACAAACCCTCGCCACCCTGAAGCCTGGGTAGCGACAGATGTAGCCACAAGGCCTCTCGATATTTGCTCCTGTGGCTCTCCAAGTGCCCACAGAGCCACTGCTGGCCACTCAGGAGTCAAGTCTGGCGTGCCTCAGACCCTCAGGAGACATGCTTCGGCAACAGCATCATTATCTCTTATTAACTTCATTCTGTAGGAGCCGACGCCTTGGAGATGCTGGGAAATCATCCTCCTCCCACAACAACACATTAACTTCACTACCTGTGCGCATGGGAATGACACGGACTGTCGCGCCGGGCGGACCCCGGAGCAGGGGACACACTCTGACCTCGCTCAAATTTGTGTAATTATGTCAACTTGCTCTGCATTCTTCTCAGTCCATGCCGATCATTAAAGCATTCATTAAACACAGCTTAGCTCAGCGAGCGACCAGGAAATCTGATGGAATTAGACTCAAGCTGTGTTTCCACCGCAGCAGACGCACCTGACAAACCGAGACGGGGGTTTTATTTGGTCCCTGAACCCCCCTCAGACCGCCTTCTCAAGGTGAACAAGGAGAGCCTGTGTATTAAAGGGGGGGTATGCAAAGTTGACTGTAGTTTTGTTTCGTGTTATAACATACAAGTTGTACAGATTGTTTGTAAATTAGATTTTCTTCCATTTTGCAGGTATACTGATGCTTAGGGCAATCTCACAGGTTTTTAATGTAAATAAATACAATTAAATAACCAACTCCCAATCTGCTCTGACACTAGAAATAAGTTCCCCACCTCTCCTTGCTCCTCTGAGCTGGAGACTCTGGTATCTCCGCCACACATTCCATCTTTCCCACAGCCGAAAGTTCGGCTGCACCCCCTGTGTGTGAGCACTGCAAGTTTTAGGTGAAAAGTCTGGATTTTTGAGGGTCATGACACAGGTAAACACCTGAATGGGTTGATGTTTTAATGTCACTCCCTTGAGTGTTGCTTTGACTCCATTCTGTGGTAGCCATATGGAGCTGCCTAAACACTTGCTGATGCAAAGCACCGCCTATTTATACCTAGCTCCTCCCTTGAGCTCAGTCTGCATCACCCATCATCTGAAGCATTGTTTGAAGATGTGCTGAAAGTGGGAGTGTCGAAAATGGAAGGAGCTTCTTTAAAGAGGCAGAGGTCAATTTCAAGATGTTTTATTTTTGATATATACAGCTTTTTCATAACAACAGAAGATTACTTGATTGTGGTATAGAACTGTGGGCCTGAAAACCACATAACACCCCTCATGAAATACTGATCATTTTTCTAACATAAATAAAAAAAAGGCATGTTCAGATGATTTTATTACAAATTATGCATCAGTACAAGACAAATTTTACAATTTGGCATCTCATTTTTACTTGATTAAAAGGGGACGCATTTAGTGAATAACAGAAAAATAAGACACTTTCTGAGAGTTTCATTAAAATCTGTTCAGTAGTTCATGAGATATTTTGCTAACAGACAAACAGATTTGACTCCAGCAGTTGAGGATGATGCTCTGCTACAACCACACCGACTTCTAYCTCCACATCTGTAAAACTGATTCAGTCATGGTCATTCTTGTGTTCTCTGAAGGTCAGGTAGTGGCGGCCATCTTGTATTGATTGACTTCAAAATGTAAACAGTGTAGATGTACATCTAATTATYACTTTCTGAGAGTTTCTTTAAAATCCATCCAGTGGTTCACAAGATATTTTAATACCAAACAGGATGATGCTAACAGTTGAGGCCAAAGTTTTGAGCAAAAATAATGTGCAGCGAATTTGAGCTGAGTTTGAGCTAAGGATAACTCTCAGCTATTACCATGCCAAATTTGATCTAAATATCTGTGAGATTGATAGGCTTTTAGTTTATTTTGTGTTTGCCAGCGGTGGGCACAGTTTCACTGACCTGCTAATAGCGGAACTAGCTACTCATCTAAGGGATTAGCTTGAAAAGACTGATTAGCTTCCTYAAAATTATGTACGGCTAATTTTAAGTGGACCAAAAAAAAAAATTGTGAAAAGTGTAAAAACATCTATTTTTATGCCATTTATCTCAGATTAGATAAAAACATTTACAAGCAGTGCTGGACATGTCAGGCACCGTGTGTGGATAGCATGTAGCATCTTTAGTGAATAAATTTTAAACAGAGAGCATCAAAAAKAAATAAAATAACATTTTACAATTTTTAAACAAAAATTGACAGATAAAATATGGTATAGAAAGTATCTGCTATTTTTTGTTTGATTACTTTCAAATGGTAGTTATAGAAATACAAATTTGATTAAAGACATAGTTTTAATCTGAAAGGGTTAAACTGGAAGTATCAAATTAAATGGAGCTATAACTCTAGTTTGGATTGGTCAATTTGCCACAAATGATCCTACCCACTTTCAAATAGAAAACTAACAGGTTTGAGTCAGTCCAGTCAGTGTTAGCTACTTCCTTTTTACTATCTGTTCAGCATTAGCATTAGCAGATCTAAGATTCTTGTTTAGCAGATTAGTGATTAGTGAACCTAACTTTTGGTTAGCTGTGCCCACCATTTTAAATACGATTGACTCTAAAAGTTAAAGAATTGTAGATGTACGTCCAGTGATTACTTCCTGATTGTTTTATTCAAATCCATCCAGTGGTTTGTGATTTATTTTGCTAACAGACACAGGCAAAAACATTACCACATACATTTTGCAAACAATCAACAAACAGGTACAGAAAAACGTTTAGCTTTAAGAAGAATGTRCAACCACAGCAAGAGTAATGAAGCATTTTGGTTTCAGTGATAAATCCTGAAATCTTTAAAGAACATGTTTCACGCCATCTATTTTTAAAAATATATTTCTATTTATCACAGCAGGTCGTCTGGTCATTTAAAGTCAGATTGTAGGTTTTTGAATCAAAGTGAATGAAACCCTTGTATCTTTTTTTGATCAACTGTTAAACATTATCTTACATCTCAACATCGGTCCGAAACAGTTTGTGGTGCAGCTCCATCTAACTAACGCCTCGCTTAAACATACTCAACAGTTTTCCTGAAGCTCCCGTCTGTGCTCTTCATCTGGTACCTCCTCTGCAGGACGGGTTGGGGCTCCACCTGTAAACACGTACAGGAGGTGACCATGACCAGCCCGGCCACAATGAGGAGGAACCCCGCCGCCCAGCCGCAGAACAGAGCGTCCCCAAACTCCCACCGGGGCACGGCGTCCGGCACGGTCTCATCAAAGAAATGCGTCACCGCTAAATGGGCCGTGTAGCAGATGGGGATCAGACACAGCACTCCAGAGACCATTCCCAGCACCCCTCCTGTGATGGTCAAGGCCCTCTTCGTTTGAGAGCCACCGTAGCGTCCGCAGCTGTTGATGAGGGACAGTCCAGGTGTGGCCACGAGGATCCCCAGCACCCCCACAGCCAGGGAGGTACACATGAAGATCCGAGCCAGCTTCAGGTGATTGGAAAGGCCCAGCAGGGTGTCGTACGACCTACACTCCGTGTCTCCTCCGTCCTGGACCACGCAGGTTTCCCACAGGCCCTGGTCAAAGCTCTCCACAGGCAGCAGACTTGTGGACATGGTCAGCCACTGAGGTAAGATGGTGGTGGCTAAGGCACACAGCCATGCCCCGATGTAGATCAGCAAACCCAGCAACTCCAGAGAGCAGGCAGACGTGGCCATGGTTCCCTATCCGGCCTCCACGCTTCAACGGGTTCTTCTTTCGGCCGCGGTTGGCGTTCAGGCGAAACACCGGACGGTTAGAGTCGGACTGCTTGGGTTCGAGGAGCTGGTGTACAAACAGCTCCGTCTCTGAGGAGCACACATCCTCTGTGGCGGAAAGGAGAGAGGGCCAGCTTTGGCCCTCCCCTTTGAGGTCCTTCGCCTCCTGCTGCTGTGCCAATGGGCAGCAGGGGCAGAGGCACAGATGGACAAACTGTCAACAGTTGCTCAAAACTACAAGCCACATGAGATGTCATTAAACACAGACAGGAAATGGATTCATTTTGCACAGGAAATATGGCCTCCCAGATGTTTATCTTTGACTCTCTGGTGATCTTAGACCATAAAAAGTAGATTATTTAATGTAAACATACAAAGAAACTGGGGTTAAATGTAAAATAATAATGTTTCTTATAATATAAAACTATATTTCTACAAAAAGAATAAAGATTTAGAAATAATGAAAAGATTATTTATCACATTTATCGGTCTAGGCGCTGACAGTCAGGCTGTTAGCTGCATGTGACTGATTGTGAAACAGCTTATTGTCTGCTGTCGTACCAACACTGCAGAGCCTGTGGGAAATGATCGTAGGAGGCTGCAGATCAAAGCTGAGATGTGAGAAAATGTTTCCCATTCTTAAACAGACCGTTTAGATAAAACCCCAGCCGAAGGCTCTGATGTCCTGACGACTCACAGAAAACCTGACAAAAAAAAAAAAAAAAAAAAAACAGCTTCTGTTTGTTATCCTGCGGTGTGAGAAGCTCAGCGTCAGCAGAAAATGTTCCTCCTTTGTGTCTCGAGTGAAAAGAGAGCAGAAATTCCCTTTCTGCTTTGTTCTTCCTGCATTTTACGTCAAACTGAGTTCTTGTTTTTGCAGCAGAAATTTGCAAAAAATGATGAAGAAATGGATCTGATAGGTCCTCCCGTCAGGAGGCTGACAAACCTCGCCTCTAGAGTGCGCACTAAACACTCAAAAAAAAAAAAAAAAAAAAAAACTTGCACAAATTACTTTTATTGAGGATTTACTTTTATTTACTTTACATTTTTACTCATACTTTTCTTAAAGGGATTGTGAACTTCACGTTTCTTTTTAACACAGGTGTTATCTTACATTCAAGTCAGGATGGATGGATGGATGGATGGATGGATGGATGGATGGATGGATGGATGGATGGATGGATGGATGGATGGATGGATGGATGGATGGTTTTGGCACTAGGCTTTGTCTCTGTGGAATAGACACTTTATTTATTCTTTATTTAACTAAAATCAAGAACTGTTAAAAATAGGAGCTTCAGATTTCTTTTGTTGTTCAGCTCTGATGAGGGGCTATCCATCAGGTTAACCAATGCCCCCCGCCAAAAAAAAGACCCCCACTCAAACCACTACAATTTTGGGATGCACCCAGTAGCGTGACTTCTAAGTTCTGGTGCATTTGTGCGTGCAGGGGTCATTATGTTACCGCCATGCAGTGTCTAGTTATGTGTCAGTTTATGAATACTTGCCTGTTTTTGAATTCTCTTCTCCCGTTTCAGAGCAAATCAGCTGAAGACCTATAGGCCAGAAGRAGTGAGCGCTATCTTACTCCTACTGCTGATGTCATGTTTTCTTAATTCTTTTTCACAATTAAGTATTGGAAGGATGTGGGAGTTACCAGTGTGTTTGGTTCTGATTTTTAAGATATAGCTAGAGCAAAGGTCAACTGCATATCTGGTTCAAGACTTGCAGTCTCTTTTATTTGTTTTGCCCAGGTTTCATAACTCCTTTGGTTTTGGGTTTGTGAGTACTATTTTCATTTAATTTATTTTAAATGTTGTGTCCTTTGAGCCATGATTGGTACATGAACAATAACCAATGGTGGCATAGCTAACTCATAATGGACTAAATAAAAATATAGCTTTGCTAATGCTAAACTGCTAAACATGTAATAATAATAATAATAATAATAATAATAATAATAATAATAATAATAATAATAAGCAGAAGCTAACGCTAAACAAGTAAAAATTATTGTGAGCTAAAAATAACCACTAAGATGACTGTCACTCTCTGTGTCACTCGTCTTCATCTCCCTCCAGCTGAAGACTGATGGACTGACACAAACCTGTTGATGTTAGCTTATTAGTTAGCTGTTAGCAGACAAAGTTGGCAAAACCATGTTTGTCTCTGTTATTTACATTAAATAAATATAAAAAAAACTGAATTAGCGGAAGCTAATTGATCCTCTTGGACCCCTTGGTGGATGATGTGTCTCTCATGTCTTGTTCTTACTTTCTAAAGACAATACTACGGAAGCTGAGAGCAGACATTTTCCTGCATATACTTTTTCTAATGGTTTTCTCAAGATAATAATTTCTTCCATCATCACAAGAAGACATTAATTGTTTTCTCAAGATAATGAGAAGATTATATTTTCTTGAATGATCATGATCAGTGTCCTGATGCATCTCAGTAATCCAGGTAAAAAATCAAAAAGAAAAAAATTGT